CTTAAGGGACCGAGTTAAGAAGATCACTTGAGTCTGGGAAGTCGAGACCACAGTGAGCCGTGTTCATGCCACTGCACTCCAGCCTAGGTCACAGAGTGAAACTATGCCTCAAAAAAAAAAACAAAAAAAAACAAAACAAAAAAAAACAAAAAAACACCCCACTGGAAGAATGTGCAGATTCAGATGTGCATGTGGCTAAGGCAGACTTACTGTTATGGAATGCCTTATTCAAGTCACAAATACTGTTTTTCAAATGTGTGAAAATCCTCAAAGAAACCATAAAAGCAACAATAACAAGTGGATGTGGAGTGGACCTTTTGACTGGAAAGGTCTCAAAACCAGTCAGACCCTTGCTTGGCCTGTGCTATATCCTGAATCTCACCAAGCTGGGGGGAAATGGAATAGAACATACTCTAGAAACCCAGTAATAAGCCAAGAGTCTGTATGATCTATAAAAAGGGATAACTATTGAAACCTGTTTTAGATACATTGTTGAACTCTGGCTCTCAAGTCTCTCTAATACAATGTCCCTATCTTCCAGTTCTCAGAAGTTTTCCCTCTTACATAAGACACACATTTATACTTAATAAGCACCAAAACCCTGAGCTCTGAACTAGGTCATCTTTTCAAAAAGAGGCTCAGCCCATAGACTAACTTGAAATGCTATTTCCAGCTGCAAAATTCCAGCAAGAGTTGCAGTTAATATTGAGAGCAGAGGCCGGGCTTGGTGGCTTACCCCTGTAATCCCAGCACATTGGGAGGCCGAAGTAGGTGTATCATGAGGTCAGGAGTTCGAGACCAGCCTGGCTGACATGGTGAAACTCTATCTCTACTAAAAATACAAAAATTAGCTGGGCGTGGTGGTAAGCACCTGTAATCCCAGCTACTCCAGAGGCTGAGGCAAAATCGTTGGAATCTGAGAGGCAGAGGTTGCAGTGAGCCAAGATCGAACCACTGCACTCCAGCCTGGGGTGACAGAGGAAGACTCTGTCTCAAAAATAAATAGAGAGCGAGCAGAAACAGGTTTGTTCCTGAACACCTTTTATCTTGCTTAAGTCCAAGATACTTCCAAACGGAGATTTGCCAGTTTTTCTGCACTTGAGACAGTAGATCCAGTGTAATGAGATTTTTTAAAATATCACGATTTGTCCAACCTTTAAAACAGGATTTGTATATCCTTTAGATATGACCCAATAAGACAATTTATAATTAAATATCAGAATTTGTAATGGGACTCACTCCAGAGTGCCAGTCCTCTGTGTGTGTGTACTCATACATACATGTGCATGTTCATACACACACAGAGAAAAGTAATATTCCTTATGACAGAGTGTAAAACCCAACTCCTGGCAATCTAAGAGAACTCTCCCTTCTATTTACTCTTGCAGCATGCTAAAGAAAATCTGAGCCAAAGAATATGGGGTGAGTCTTCAAATGAAGTATTTAATAAGGCTCCCCGTGTACCACTCTAGGCACTATAGGAAGGGCCAGTGGATAACAGCTATCAGGAAGCTAATCTCAGATCCATATTAAGTACAAACTTTTACCATAAATCAGAGCTAATTTAACAAAATGGACTCTATGTTATAGATTGACTTCTGGAGTAAGATGTACTGTCCAGAATTTGTGACCCAGGCCTTTAATACAAACTTGGTAAACTCCTTTTATGCATTAGGTACTTTGCCTGATCCCTGTTCTCCAACTTTCAGAGTGGAAACTGGACCATGGTGTAGGTAGGAAGAACAGCAAAAGGCCCAAGAATGGGCCGGGTGCAGTGGCTCACACCTGTAATCCCAACATTTTGGGAGACTGAGCCAGGAGTCTGAGACTAGCCTGGGCGCCAAAGCAAAACCCCATCTCTATAAATAATAAAATAAAAGAGGCACAAGATTATCTTTTTTTTTTTTTTTTTTTTTGAGACGGAGTTTCGCTCTTATTACCCAGGCTGGAATGCAATGGCGCGATCTCGGCTCACCGCAACCTCCGCCTCCTGGGTTCAGGCAAGTCTGCTGCCTCAGCCTCCTGAGTAGCTGGGATTACAGGCACGCACCACCATGCCCAGCTAATTTTTTGTATTTTTAGTAGAGATGGGGTTTCACCATGTTGACCAGGATGGTCTAGATCTCTCGACCTCGTGATCCACCCACCTCGGCCTCCCAAAGTGCTGGGATTACAAGCTTGAGCCACCGCGCCCGGCCAAGATTATCTTAAACAATGCTATTGCCCCAGTACCTAGAACACTAATGCACAGGAGCCACTCAGCAGGTATCTTACTGGGTGAGAGACAGGCATTTTTACACTGCATGGTATGTGACTGCAGCATTAGAATGAACAAGGGTATGTGCAGAGGAGGCTGGGTGTGGTGGCTCACGTCTGAAATCCCAGCACTTTGGGAGGCCAAGGAAAGTGGAACACCTGAGGTCCCAAGCTGGAGACCAGCCTGACCTTGAAACTCGCAGAGATGGTGAAACCCCATCTCTATGAAAAATACAAAAATTAGCCGGGCGTGGTAGCAGATGCCTGTAATCCCAGCTACTGGGTAGCCTGAAGCAAGAGAATCACTTGAACCGGTGAGGCGAAGGTTGCAGCAAGCCAAAATAGCACCACTGCACTCTGGCCTGGGCAAGAGAACAAGACTCTGTTTCAAAGAAAAAAAAAAGACATACACAGAGGAAAGAGAATTCTGCCAGAGCAGGTGAGGGAAGACTTCCAAGAAGCAATGACATCAGAGTAGCCCTTTCCTGAAAGCAGCTTTTCAGCAGACCGCAGGAGGAAGAAAGCCATGTAGACAAGTGTGCCCAAATCCAGGCTGGAGCAGATGGCCGGAGCTACTTTCCAATTCAAATTCCTACACGGTTCTATTTCCTGGGTTTTTGTTGTGCTTCATCATCTCCCTCAAACTTTCCATTATAAAGGGTAAATACAGAAGGGTGGTTGTGCTTCCCACTAGGCAATTCGCTAAAAGTAAACAGCAGGTAACAGAAAAATAAATACTGTGGAATGTTTTATTTACCAGGCAATGGGCCTATAAGATTCTCAGACCTTCTGAGAGTGAAAAATAATCCGATAACCCGAAAGTTCACTAGAAACAAGCCACTTTCAAAACAAATTGCTGTCCTTTATTTTTCTTCTTTAAGTTTTTGTTTTTTAAATTGGCTCATGCGAAAACTGCTTGATTCCCAACAGAAAAAAAGGAAATCTAAACATTGCATGGTCACTTCTGACTCCAGGAGGGAACACTGGGGAGGAAATGAAGGCATTTGAAAGAGAATGGAAACTAAAATTTAGGGCAGAGGAAAGTTGAAATTTAAAAAAAAAAAAAAAAATGAGAACAAGGGAAAAGAACAAGTGGAAAATTTTCAAAGCCCCTAAGAAAGTGCAGAAATAAGCCATTTCCCATCACTGTCTTTAGAAACGGAAAGGGCTACAGTCCAGTGGCAAGATGGATAGTGTGAGGCCCTTCATGCCAGAAGGAAACAAGTCGCCAAGTCAGGTACAGAGCATTACGGAATGGGCTCGTCTCTTCTCGCTGTCTTCCTTCACTGACTCCGTGGTCCCAACCAAGAAGCCCAACCTAAACACAAAACCCTTAGGATGAGAGCCAGCCTTCCCTCTAGGCTGCTCTCCCCTCAAACCGCATTCCAAAGGCAGCATTCCAAGAACAAAATGCAGTTGAATGTATTAAAATCAAAATAGGCGCACTTGAGGTAACAATACCCACAAAAGAAAACTCAAGTGCAATTTGGTACACATAATTCTTCCTTCTGAGACATGGGGGTGGGGGAAGAGTTTCCTGTAAAAGCCAGCTTTTTCAACCTGCTTAAGAAGTAACACTCTGGAGATATTTCTTAATTCCTTGCTTTTAAAAAGCTTTCCTTTTGTTTTCCGACACCGCCCTCCACCTTCCTTTTCAAACCAATCTGTGCTTCTGAAATGCAGATCCTCGGATAATTAGTGCATGATGGGCAATAACCACCCCGGACACCCTTGAGAACTGCAGCGACCGTAAAGGACCCCCGCTGCCAAGAACAACTTTTCATAAAGGAGTTGCTAATTACCAGCATCTCCATCGCAGAATGGTTAAGAGCCTCGCAGCAGCACAACCGCTAACCTCTCACCTTTGAACGCCAATTCATTAGGAACCGGTGTGAACGTGGAGTGAGAGGAGAGGGGGAAAGGGAGGCATTCAGTACTGTTAGACTAAGAAATCAGGCGATCTAGATCTCCAAGTTCACCGTCAGCCAAAGGAGGCATCTCCAGCCAAGGGAGGCAGCTCAAGAAAGCCATTTCCAGGAAAGCTGCATTCAAAATGTAATTTATCAGAACGAGTCTCCGACGAGTCTCCACATCTCCAGGCCCGGCGGCTTGGAGACGAGGGGGAGTTGTTGGGAAGAGTTTACCTTAGAAGGCGACAGCGAACAGACAGGCCTTTCAAAGCCACCCAGGGCTCTGCCCCGAGGCCCGAGGCTGCGTGGAGGGGCTGGAGCAGCGCGTGGCTGCGAGCCCCACGGCGCCACAGGTTCCCCAGCGCGCAGCCCCGCCCGACTGCCACAGGTGGGCGGCGCTCCGCCTCGGGGTTCCCGCGGGAGGGGGCGCGCGGCTCACTAAGGACTCGGGGGAGGAGGCCAGGGTTAAGGGGTACGGGGCCAGCTCTGCCTTGAGGAGGCAGCGTGAGCGGGAAGCTCGGGGTTTTTCGCTGCGTGGTTCTCGACCCTCCCTGGGCTCGGTGGCCCGGGCTTTTCCTCGCGGCAGGAGGAGTGGTGGAGAGAGGAGCCGCGGGCACCTCCCACCGGCCGCCCCGAGAGCCCTGGCCTCTTCCCCGGGCGCGGTTAAGCCGCGCGGCCGCGGGCCGCCAGCTGCATGCGCCCCGGCACGTACAAGCCTGCACGACCACATGCGGGCGGGGGAAGGGCACCGCGATCCGGGAGACCCGGCCCCTCCAGGGCCTCACCCCAGCCCAACGCGGCTCGCCCCCGGCCCTCGTCCCCGCAGCCCCTCACCGGTGTTGGCCTTGATGTTCTCCCGCAAGAAGTGGCCGCTGGAGAGATGCTGGAGACCAAAGTTCTGGGCGATCCTCTGGCACACGGTGCCCTTGCCCGAGCCGGGCGGCCCGAGGATGACCGCGCGCAGGAGTTTGGAAGCCATTGCCTTCGCGAGGAGGGGGAGCGGCCAAACGCGCAGCCCAGACCGCAGCCCGGGAGGGAACCCCGGGAACTTTGTTTCTCGGCCCCCTACCTCTGGCACCCTCCGCTCGCACTGGGACTCGCCGGCCGCCCCTACAGGGGGAAGGAGAGACTTTTAAGACAACCCCTCCCCTCAACCCTGCGCCGGGACCGACTCCCAGGCGGAGTGAGCGCCACGCTACACCTCCCCGCCCTCCTCCACCTCCTGGCCCTCCTCCACCTCCTCGCCCCCACGCAGAGCTGCTGGAGCGCGCCGGTGCCCCGCCCTGCCGGCTCGGCCTCCAGAGGTCAGAGGTCGGCCCGGCCAGTCCCACCTCCATCCTTTCCTCCAACTCGCGCCTCACGCCGCGTTGGAGAACGGAGTCGGGCGGCCGGGCATCCCCCAACCAGTCTCCGTCGAGCCAGGGAAGCTGGCCCAAGGGGGTCATTCAAAGCCTGCCCCCGCAGCCCCACACACCGAGCGGCCTAGAGGCTGAGCCCCTGCCCTGTACTCGCACGTGTGCAACGTGTGGTCGGCGTCTCGGCCCCTCCCCGCGGCTGTCACATCCCCCGGAGTCTCAGCGGCCGCCGCTGCCCACCGCCTGCGCGCGCTCGGAGGGGCCCACCTCCGCCCGGGGTTGGCGGATGCGCTCCCGGGCCGTGGGACGCGCGACGAGCCCGAGCCCGAGCCCTGCGCCTCGCCTCCAAAAGCAATCAAATAAAACACACACCTTGGCTGGAGGCAGCGCTCTGAGAAGCTTCCAGCCCGTTTCCCGCAGGGCGGCGCCGCCTCCGCCCGCCGAGTCTCCGAGCCCGGGCCGGCAGCGCGGGACTCGCGCCTTACGTAAGCCTGGGAGACAGTCTCCGCGCGAGCCGCCGGCCGCCGCCCCCTCTCTCTCCTCCCCTCCCACCCAGCCTGTCCGGCCCACGTGCTCCCCGCGACCCAGCGAGGGCTGCCGGGGCGAAACGAGGCGCAGACCACACAGGGTAGAGAAACCCCCCTGCCCTTTTTTTTTCCACGATCGCCTAGGGACCGCGGTCTGCTGCAAGGAGAAGGAAAAATACAACTTGTTGAGCGCCTACTGTGCGCCAAGTTCACGGCTAGGTGATTTCATTGTGTTTACAGCCGAGGAAATGAGGCATGGAGTGTGACCATGCATTCAGTGATTCATTCGGCAAATTTTTACTGAGTGCCTACTATGTGCCAGAAACTATTCTAGACGCTTGGGATGTAACCGTGAACAAGAGATTGAATCCTGCTCTCAAGAAATTGCGTCCTAGCGGGAGGTTGGAACCCAAGACTGACTGACTCCAAAGTCCAGGCGCCTTGGGGAACAGGGAAGAAGGGGATGTCACTCACCTGTGCGACCTTCTTGATAAATAATTCCAGGACTTCCATGCCTGTTATTCTTGTGCTGCATGTATAAGTCACCAAGTTCAAATGGAACCTGTTTTCCCCCAACCCCACCCTCCCCTGCATATCCCAATCCACATTCTGTTAGATCTGTGCTCACAGCCTTTAATTGCCCATCCAAACTAATGAGATAGCTGCTCGTAAGACTCCAGTTTCTGTGCCATTCCATTTTCCGTGCAGTTGCCAGGAATATTGCTAAAGCGAAAATCAATTTCTATTATTTCTCGGCCTCAGATACTGTCTTCCATTCAGGATAAAGTGAAAAATCTTCAGCCGGGTGCGGTGGCTCACGCCTGCAATCCTAGCACTTTGGTAGGCCGAGGCAGGCACATCACCTGAGGTTGGGAGTTCAAGACCAGCCTGACCAACATGAAGAAACCCCGTCTCTACTAAAAAACAAAAATAGCCGGGCGTGGTGGTGCATGCCTGAAATCCCAGCTTATTCGGGAGGCTGAGGCAGGAGGATCGCTTGAATCCTGGTCGCGGAAGTTGCGGTGAGCTGAGATGGGCTGTTGGGCTCCAGCCTGGGCAACAAGAGTGAAACTCTGTCAGAAAGAAAGGGAAGAAGGAAGGAGAGAGAGAGAAAAAAAAGAAGGAGAAAAGAAGGAAAAAGAGAGAAAAGAGAGAGAGAGAAAGATCTTCAGCAGGGTTGCAGAGACACCTTTGCATTTTGTAGGCCCTCTCCTCTGCCTTCCCTCCACAGGCCGCCTGCCTTTCAAGATACCCATCGCAGAATTCCCAGCGCCAAAACCCAGGGCTCAGAGAAGGTGAGGGATGCAAGTAGTGGGATGGTGTGGAGAAGAGCTTCCTCTCACTTCCTGGCTGTTCTTTGTTGGGGGAGAGGGTGGGACATGAAGGGCAGAGCCTGACATAGTTTCCTGATACCCAGAGCCTCTACCCACTTCCTACTCCACGCACAAAATTGGCCAGACAGCACACCCAGGCCACCAACCCCATGCCAGCGTTTATTCCATAGACGGATCTCCCTCTAAAATGTCTCAGTGTGACTTTGGGAGGCCGAGGAGGGGGGATCACCTGAGGTCAGGAGTTGGGGACCAGCCTGACCAACATGGAGAAACCCCATTTCTACTAAAAATACAAAATTAGCTGGGCATGGTGGGTGCAGGCCTGTAATTCCATCTACTCCGGAGGCTGAGGCAGGAGAATCATTTGAACCTGGAAGACAGGCTGTGGTGAGTCGAGATCACACCATTGCACTCCAGCCTGGGCAACATAGTTAAAAAAAAAAAAAAAAAGAAGGTCTGAAAAACACAAAAAAAGTTTCAGTGTGGCCAGGCACGGTGGCTCACGCCTGTAATCCCAACACTTTGGGAGGCCAAGGTGGGCGGATCACTTGAGGCCAGGAGTTCGAGACTAGCCTGTCTAACATGGTGAAACTCTGTCTCTACTAAAAATACAATGATTAGCCAGGTGTGGTGGTGCATGCCTGTAATCCCAGCTACTCAGGAGGCTGAGGCAGGAGAATGCTTGAACCTGGGAGGCAGAGGTTGCAATGAGCTGAGATTGGCCACTGCACTCTAGCCTGGGCAACAAAGCAAGACTCTGTCTCAATAAATGACACATAACAAAGTGAGACTCTGTCTCAAATAAATGATACATAAATCTCAGTGTGCTGTAGACCTGATACTGAACCCCTTCAACCCTTCACCTGGGAACAGAAAGGGAGAAAAGCTTGAGAGTGTGGGGGCGGGAGCATATGGTGTGTAATATGTAGCAGATATTTCTTTGGAGTGGCTCTCAGAAGTGAGCATGCATCAGAATCACCTGGAGAGCGTGTTGAAACATGTTGTTGAGCTCCATTAGTACAGAATTTGATTCAGTGGATCGAAGGTGGGTATTGCTGGCAAGGTCCCAGGTGATGCTGAGGTTGTTGATCTGGAGATCACACCTTGGAAACCACTGCCATGGTGAACAGAGCATTGAGACATGAGATGTCAGGAGTTCGTAGACCAGCCTGATCAACATGGTGAAACCCGTCTCTACTAAAAGTACAAAAAGTAGCCGGCGTGGTGGCCCACACCTGTTATCCCAGCTACTCAGGAGCCTGGGGCAGGAGAATTGCTTGAACCCGGGAGGCTGCATTGAGCCAAGATGGCACCACTGCATTCCAGCCTGGGTGATGGAGCAAGACTCATCTCTCACACACACAGACAGACATTAAAAAAAAGAAAAAAGACATGCAGCATCTAAATGAGACTCTCTGCTTAACTGAAATCACATGTCTCCAAATAAGACAGGGAATACTTTCTTAATATTCAAATTAATTTTTTTTTTTTTTTTTTAGGCAAAGTTTCATTCTTGTTGCCCAGGCTAGAGTGCAGTGGTGTAATCTCAGCTCACTGCAACCTCTGCCTCCCAGGTTCACGCAATTTTCCTGCCTCAGCCTTCCGAGTATCCAGGATTACAGGTGCCCACCACCACGCCCAGCTATTTTTTTGTATTTTTAGTAGAGACGGGGTCTCACCATGTTGCCAGGCTGGTCTCAAACTCCTGACCTCAGGTAATCCACCTGCCTTGGTCTCCCAAAGTGCTGAGATTACAGGCATGAGCCACCGCTACCGGCCCCAGTATTTTTTTTTCTTTTTTTTTTAGACATAGTTTTGCTCTTGTTGCCTTGGCCAGAGTGCAATGGCGTGATCTCAGCTCTCCGCAACATCCGCTTCCCAGTTTCAAGTGATTCTACTGCCTCAACCTCCCAAGTAGCTGGGATTACAGGCATACACCACCACGCCCAGCTGATTTTTCATATTTTTAGTAGAGACCGGGTTTCTCCTTGTTAGTCAGGCTGGCCTCAAACTCTCAATCTCAGGTAATCTGCCTGCCTCAGCCTCCCAAAGTTCTGGGATTACAGGTGTAAGTCACCGTGCCCAGCCAATTTTTTTTTTATATGGAGTCTGGCTCTGTCACTGAAACTGGGGTGCAGTGGGGCGATCTTGCCTCACTGCAGCATCTGCCTCCCACACTCAAGCAATCCTCCCACCTCAGCCTCCCAAATAGCTGGGACTACAGGCATGCACCACCACACCCAGCAATTTTTTTGTGTGTATTTTTAGTGGAGATGGGGGGTTCTTGCCATGTTGCCCAGGCTGGCCTCAAACTCCTGAGTGCAAGCTATTTCACCCGCCTTGGACTCCCAAAGTTCTGGGATTAGAAGTGTGAGCCACGACACTGGGCCCCAGAACACATATCACCTTGAATCATTTCTAGTACCACATCAAATTATCTCCTGCACTATCAATAATACATTGCACATAATTTAATGTACCTCAAAGTATACCTGTGAAATTTGACTTACCAGATTTTTTTAATGCTATGATTAAAAATATCACCTGAACCACAGTTCACAGACATGACACTGACCTTACCTCTAAATTCAAACCCCCATTGTTCCAGATATCACATCTCTGCATCGTTGTCATCTATCGTAATTTCATGTTTATTTCTGTTGTATTTGATGAAGACTCTGTGCTCCTTTAACATAGTGGCATTATCTTTTTCACCATGGCTTCCACACAGCCTAGTAAAAATGCAGCACATGGAGAATATTAAGCAAACGTTAAAAGACAGACTGCTGCGTGAATGAGTGGACAGAGATATGCCTCTCTTTGCCTTCTGTGAAGCTTCTCTGGAAAGACAAAAGAAATGCTTGTGGCTTATATGTGCAAAGATTCAGAAAAGAAAATAGAAAACAATGGGAAGAAGTAATAAGATATGTGTCCCAGCATGTGCTGTTCCTTTCTCCCTGTAGGCACTCAATAAATACTCAGAAAGCCAAAAGATTGTGTTGAAAGAAGAATAGATGGTGTATAAAGGACTACATGGTATTATTTGTGACCATAATACATTCTTACAAGTGAAAGAATAATCTTAGCCCTGGTTTTACCAGCCCACATGGTTATTAACCTATAACATCTTAACAGGGTTTGAAAAGGCAGCAGCATTTATTTTACAACCCTGCTCTCCCAGATAAAAAGAAAACAAAAAAGCTCCCAAGCTGTTAAAAAAAAGAAAACTAGGAGGAAACAAATCAATATTCTAAGTTTACCTAGTTTGGCCCACTATTCTCCATGAACAACATACTTTACAAATCATTTCTAGAATAACAGTATACGATAGAGGCAGGCTCTTAGGAAGATGTGGAACTCCCAGTCTTGGTCTTTTCACCTTGAAACTAGAAAGCAGTTTAACAATCTCTTATGCTCTTCCCCCCAAACATAATAATACAATGATGATGTCTTGCTCAAAACTTTGCTTCAATTTGTACATCTGGTAGTGGGGATGGACAGGACTGTATCATTCACATTCTTCACTCCATCTTCCCAACTACAATCAATAGCAGAATTCCTCCTAGAAGCTGCCTTGGGATTTGTAGGCATGCCTGGAGATCAGATGTGTTTGGGTGTGTCTTTCCTC